GTATGTATGCAATGTATGTATGTATGTATGTATGTATGTATGTAATGTAATGTAATGTAATGTAATGTATTGTAATGTATGTATGTATGTATGTATGTACGTATGTATGTATGTATGTACGTATGTATGTATGTATGTAATGTATGTAATGCAATGTATGTATGTATGCATGTAATGTAATGTAATGTAATGTAATGTAATGTACTGTACTGTAATGTAATGTAATGTAATGTAATGTAATGTATGTATGTATGTAATCTATGTATGTAATGTAATGTAATGTAATGTAATGTGATGTAATTTAATGTAATGTAATGCGATGTAATGCAATGTAATGTAATCTATTCTATTCTAATGTAATGTAATATCATGTATGTACGTACGTATGTATGCAATGTAATGTAATGTAATGTACTGCAATGTAATGTATGGTAAGGCTAGGTAAGGTAAGGAAATGTAATGCAATGTAATGTAATGTATGTCATGTATGTCATGTATGTCATGTAATGTATGTATGTATGTATGTCTGTATGTATGTATGTATGTATGTATGTATGTATGTATGTATGTATGTATGTATGTATTAATGTAATGTGATGTGATGTGATGTAATGTAATATGATGTATGTATGTATGTATGTATGTATGCATGTATGTATGTATGTATGTATGTATGTATGCATTAAATGTATATAATGCGTTTTACGCATGTATGCATGTATGCATGTATGTATGTAATGCAATGTAATGTAATGTAATGTAATGTAATGTAATGTAATGTAATATAATGTAATGTAATGTAATGTAATGTAATGTATGTAATGTAGTGTAGTGTAGTGTAGTGTAGTGTAATGTAATGTAATGTAATGTAATGTAATGTATGTATGTATGTATGTAATGTATGTATGTAATGTAATGTAATGTAATGCAATGTAATGCAATGTATTCTAGTGTAATGTAATGTAATGTAATGTAATGTAATGTAATGTAATGTAATGTAATGTAATGTAATGTAATGGAATGAATGAATTTATGTATGTATGTATGTAATGTACGTAGTGTATGTACGTAATGCAATGTAATGTGATGTGATGTAATGTAATGAATGTATGTATGTAAGTACTTATTATAACGAAATGTAATGGGATGTGATGTGAAGTAATGTAATGTAATGTAATGTAATGTAATGTAATGCAATGCAATGTAAGTATGTATGTAAGTATGTATGTATGTAATGTATGTAATGTATGTAATGTATGTAATGTATGTGATGTATGTAATGTATGTAATGTATGTATGTATGTCATGTATGTAATGTATATAATGTATGTAACGTATGTAATGTATGTAATGTATGTAATGTATGTAATGTATGTATGTATGTATGTAATGTAATGTAATGTAATGTAATGTAATGTAATGTAATGTAATGTAATGTAATGTAATGTAATGTAATGTAATGTAATGTTATGTTATGTAATGTAATGTAATGTAATGTAATGTAATGTAATGTAATGTAATGTAATGTATGTAATGTAGTGTAGTGTAGTGTAGTGTAATGTAATGTAATGTAATGTAATGTAATGTAATGTAATGTATGTATGTATTAATGTAATGTAATGTAATGTCATGTCATGTAATGTAATGTAATATAATGTAATGTAATGTAATGTAATGTAATGTAATGTAATGTAATGTAATGTATGTATGAATGTATGCATGCATGCATGCATGCATGTATGTATGTATGTATGTATGTATGGAGTTGGTATGCGTCCAAGCACATGTTTCCTGAGGATGCGGGTGTGTCGAAATTGGGACCTCCCCAAAAGGTGTGGAACTGGCACAGCAAGTATTTCCATTTGGATATGTGTCCAAGGGGGCCACCCAAATTGGCATTCCTTTTGGTTTCGCTTTCACTCCGCCTTTTCAAAGGGTAGCAACTCCAAAAACGGCGGAACCGGGATCCAGCCAGAATTTGTGTTTTTCATGACGCCCGTGTTTTTCACACCCACCCTCGGAGCCATCCCTTGAAATCCCTCAGGCACTGCAAGAAAATGCGCTTTGCAGGGGTGTAAGGGTTGAAGGGTGACCCATGATTCAAGACTTCTCCCTCCTTCCCATCCTTGGCTCGCCATGTCCGCACGCTTGTTTCTTGCCAGGAAGGTTGTTACCAGACAATTGACCTCGTTGGCTGGAAGCAAGCTCCCAGCGTAAACACAAGATCAACAAGACCGCAGCTATCGCAGCAGCAGCAGCAACAACAACAACAGAAGTGGGGTGGCTGGACTTCAACCCAGAAACGGCTGAGGGAAGACACGAGAACCGCTGCTATTTTCATAACGTCACGTCTCGGTATTGACACCGGCGATCAGAGGCAGCACGCGAGTCTGCGCAGTACGGGTGTTATTAGTGCAGTACTCAGTGGGTGCAGTTGAGCGGATGTTCTTCTCACACACTTCGAAGTGATCTCTTCGCCGGCAACGGAACATAGTTTACGGCCTCAAGAACAGTTAAACGCAAAAATGATGGTATTTCGAAGCCACCCTCGGACCGAACATCAAAAACACCGCGCCCCGTGGCGGTTTCCCATTCGCCTCTGGTGCGTCGCCTCTTGGTTTCCCCCCAACATTTCCAAGAATCTCTATATTTGTTTTTTGTTTTAAGCATCACCTTTCTGGCCCATGGAAGGTGAGTGTGTATTGGTGGGGTGATATAGGGAGCCCAGATTTTGGGCGCCTCCAAGAAGCCGGATGGCGCTCAATTGGTCGGGCCAGGTGCTCGCGCTGCGCCGTAGCGGCGGGCTCGTGCGCCTGGCGCTGCTGGTGGCAGGTGGGGGGAGCCTTTGGGATGTGCTGTGGCTGGACGAATCCTGCACTACCCAAGAACCATGGTTGAAACCACTGCTCATTGGTATTGAAATCGCTACGCGATCCGCCGACGCCAGTGGGGTGCAAGGGATGTTATGACCTTTTTTCTTTTTCGTGGAAGTCTTGAAAGTGCCTTCTTGGCACTTTCCTATTTTTCAGTCAGGAGACATGTCCCACATGCTGGGGATGCTGGAAATGCAACCACACAACGTACAGGAACAGACCCAATCTTCGCATCCAACATGTCAAGACTTTCAGACACGCAAAATTGACGTCAACTCCCTTCAAATACCCTAAGAATAGACTTCCAAAAGCACGATAATGCAGGGAATGTTTCGCAGTAACGCTCCGTACAGGTGTTTTTTTTTTTTTTTAAACACACACACACACTCATTCTTGCAAATTCAAACAGTTCCTCAACGTATCACTGCACTTGGCCCCACACAGACCCCTAACAGGACGATTCCAACATCGCTTGAAACAGCAAAACACCATTAGTATCTTCAAAAAACAAGACGAATTCATAGCAGCAAGGCAACCCTGCTGATGCTGGGGATGCAGATCCTGCGCGTCCGGGGAAACCCCCCCCCTAGAGACCTAGGCGAAACGCTGGTTTTTAGCAGGCAAGCCCGAAAAACACTGGACAATTACAGGGTTTTGGACACCCAGCACACCATGCCCAAAAAATGGCAGCCCGAAAAGCCTTCGGCTTTGATAAGAGATCCGAAGGAAGACCAACTGGCGTCGGCTGATTTTGAGGAGAATCGTCATTCCAGGATTTCGTGCATCCACAGTATGGTGGGTGCTTAGGAGCAAAATGGGATTGGACATGTGTCATTTGGGTGGCTAGGTTTGCCGCCTGTTTTCCCTCAAGATGGAGGAGCCTGCTTATGTTTCGCGATGATGGTTTTCTCAAAATGGTATCGGACCCTTGGAGAGTGTTGGGTAAAATCGAAGCAGGGTAGGGCCAGCTGGGTTGCTCTTTCAGTTCCGTTTGCACATCACTGAGCCCACCGGGCTCCGTGAGTTCTGTTGGCACATTATTGGCTCAAACCAACGGACTCATTGGCTCAGGTTATTGCCAAAATTGCCATTGGCTTGGAAACCTAAAGGGAGGGTGGTTGAACAGTGGTGTAAACAGCTTGAACAAAAGTTTGGCCCAAGTCTGGATTCCCTGAGAAGAGATCCAGAAAACGCCGGGGCGAAGGGCAGCTTGGAGCTTGGAGTTGGGATTAGGGGACCTGAGTCCTAGATGTTCTTTTTGTTCAGGTATCCCTTAAGTTGGTGGTTTGGAGTTTGGTGGTTTGGGATTCTTGTAGAGAGTAAATGATACATATTCTTTTATACCTGTACAAGTTGTAAGACTTCCGTGAAGGACTTTCCTGTCCTCTGCCACTGGTGGTGCATTGGCCTAGTTGCTTTCTGGGTAGAAAGCGGCGCGAGTGTCCTTCCACAAGAAACATTTCACGGAGAAGCAGCGCCCGCCCTGAAGACGGAGCATGCATTCTGGCAATAACAAACACAATTTCGGTATGAAGTTGTTTTGGGGATCTCCTTTTTTTTTGCACATCATGTACATCGAGATGGGGATTGGTGTCACCGCCAAGCATTTTGTAGGGTGTTTCAACCTGAACAAAATGGCCAACTTTTGTACGACTCTTGCGTCGACAGCGAGGGCTGCCTAGCCCTTGGAGCGGGATTTGCAAACGAGTGCCGGGTACCTGGCTGGGTAAGGAGGGTGGCCTATACTATTGATGGTTGATGGTTTTGATTGCCGCTGTGGCTAGGAAAAATGAAGAAAACAAGCCAAGCATTGACCAAAACTGTCGGCTATTGCTTGCCGCCTATTTGACGATTTAGCTGGATGGGCTGGTGGTCTTCTCACCGCCTTTGATACTACTGGTTTTGGCCAAGATGGACTTGGCGAACCAACAATACGTAGCATATCCTGTAACTCGTCCACCAGTCAGTGCACCGTGCGAAAAGAAATGGATGAGAGCTCAAAACGGTTCTTTGCACCAAAGTCCTTTTTTGCAACCTTGCCACATCAAAACAACAGCTATGCTTGCCCATCCTTTGCGCCAAAATCCTGTTTTGCAACCTTAGTTCGTTGAGATGCTGGTATCTCCC